GCCCTTGCCGGATAAAAGAGATATTACTGGGTTCTCAGTGCACCCTGAAGAATAGAGCATCAAAAAACAAAGGTGATGCAAAGCGCCAGTACACATGCGTCAAAATTGCAGAAAGACGGTGTTGGTTTGGAAGAAGTTGACAACTACATTGTCTTGGTAAAGAAGTAAATATAAGGTGTAAAACTAGTCATCGATTTTAGTGATACACTATAAGCGTAATTATTAGAAATGTATTATTCCTGTCGTCATGCGCATAGCGCCATACCCGAATTGCGTTTAGACTATTCAATAAAAAAGAAAAATAGTCGAGCTATACCATTAGTCCACAGCCATAGCATGTTTCCTGAACATTAGTTAAAATTTTCATTCCCAAATTTGCTTAATTAAAGTTCTTGTCAATCAACGGTTTACAAATAAATAAGAACCGGAGGCGTTCCATGAAACGCTTCTGATGAATCGATTGACTGTGAGCGGGCTTTTATTGGAAACTTAAAAATGTCGCTGTATTTACAGAGAAAATGAGAAATTGGCGAAGGACCTGAACAATTTCAAACGCGAATACGTATTCTTGTTGCAGAATTGCATCAAAATACCGTTCAATGATCAGCAACCCGTAGACATACTCCAAGTGAAGCTACTTGGCGGCAGTGTTGTAAGCTTTTCCAACAATTCATTTCCAGTTGGTGCAAGCTGCATTTAACAGAAAAATGTTTACGACTTAGTGGATCGAAACGTTTTGTTCCAATTTTACTTAGTTTATCAATTGTAAGTTTATCATTTGTTAGTTTGTCAATTATCAACTTTACGTTCCATTTCATATTTTCTTTTTTTTCCCACCTTTTATTTAATGTATTAACCTACAATCATTAGTTTACTTTAACTAACTAATTGCTCTTTTTCTGTTTGTCTCGTTCAAATCTTTTAACAGTCTGTTTTATATAAAAAGTTTACGACCCATTTTGTGCTTGGTGAATATTTTCCTTTCGCATTTTACATGTGTCATGAATACCAAGACTCCTTGGACAATCACTGTGGGTATCCCATGTTCGTGATGTCAGTGAGATGCTCCTAGCTTAGCACTGGCCTTCGCATGGTTTTCGGATGGAGACATTTGTTTATGCAAAATCCGCTTATATTTTGTGTTATTTTTTGCTTTCAATTTTTTTGACAGTCCTCACTTGTCATTTGTATACTTTTTTCTATACTTTGCAATTTTTTGATCAAGCTCCCGACAGCTTAATTTAATATTTTTTTCTATCGCATTCTTTAGTGCAAAGAGTAACATTACTTATTTAGCAGTGCGCACAAGCATTAGAAATGTACCAAATGCAATAGATTACAAGTTATAAGTCGGGTTATATAAATTAGCAAATAACTGTAAATAAGTCATGAGTTATACTTTAAAATATAAACAGTATGTCAAAGTATACTACGTCTAAATACTAAATATAATATCAAATGTAGCGTATTTAAGTATCAAAATGTATTACAGTGATTAATTTTTGAATTTTTCACTGGTTATTCTATCAATAAAGCGAACGACCGAGCTGATCAAAATATCAATTTTTTAGAAAATCTTTTTTAGGTCATTTTTTCAGATTTTCTTACATCACAATAACGGATTCACAATGCTGTTCTTCATTTTTTTGCCATAAAGATAATAATTTTTTCAATCACATTAAACAACCATTTGGTCAGCCCTACGTCAGGTGGCACGCACCAATGGACGTGTGCAGCCCGGGAATGAAGGGCTTGACACGGGTGTGCCTGGTGCTTGCGAGTACCATCATAGTAATATCACTAACATGGAATATTCCAGTGATAGCTGAGACGGTTTTGTTATTCTTAGTGTTAATTTCTTCATTTTCCTGCAAATAAAATTCTAAATAAAGGAAAGTTTTACAGCACAAGAAGCGTGTGATTAGGCTTCTAGAAGAGGCTCGAGCAATTGATCCAACATTGCCCACATTTGAAAGGTACCCCTTAATGTTTATTTTCTTCTACATGTTGATAGAACTTCCAAAAGCACAGAGAACACGAGTTATTCAAAAAAAAAAAACCTTTATCCGTTCACTCCGACGCTTAGTTCTTTTGACGCAAAAATCCAGAAAAATTCCGACAAAATTATCAAAAACTGAAGAATAAAATCCACAATTTTGAAGCGTAACAACGTTGGGCAATCACTTGGACGTGTTCGGTTTCCGCCGATCTTTCGATGACGAAGACGTGGCACTGCACTACATTTGCACACAGCTTCATTCGTTGTACCTCGAACACACACCGGCACAAGTGGAGCATCGAGAGGCCTGGATGAAATATCTGCGTGATTCGAATCACCAGCTTTGCAACACGGTAT